CTCGGCATAACATAATTTCAATGGAAAAGAGATCCATGCCTGACGTACCCCAAATGCATATAATTACATCGGCCATTTTGATTTGAAGAGGAGTACGAGTTGTAGGTTACGAACTTCGATGAGAAAGACAACAAGGAGGTAACATCCTTAGTCCACAATGCAAGCGAACTCTACCTCCCAACAAGTAATCCACATCAAAGAACATGAAAGTTTTGAAAGCAACACAAAATTTTAGATTCAGCAAGTACTCAACTGAAGGCATCTAAAACAGGGCATAACGGCTTTGTAAATTTTAACCTTCCAAGCATGAAACTAATTTGCTAGCAAGTTATCTACATTCTGGGCGGGAGCCAACCCTCCAAAACGAACAAAAGAAGCGTGTCCCCCTTGTTTTATAGAAACCCCTTAAAAGTTGCTCATTTACCTGGGTTATCAGCACAGGCCTATCTTTCAAAATAAACCTAAGACTCTAGGTCCATCTTATTTACAGATAGCTCTTAAAAGCCGTTCATTAATTTACATATAGAACCTACTTAATCTTCAAACAAGTGTACCTCTATAGTAACAAGAATATCAATTACTAAAGAAGAGATGAGTAAATGACGCAGAAAAACGAGGAGCTTTCTTTAGCTTTGATATTTATGATTCGTCCAGAAAAAAGAAAATAAAGAGCTACTACATAGCATGACTCACAAAAAACCCAATCAGATTTAATGCAACTTTCTCTACCAAATAAGATGCATTGCACCCTTTCTATACCAAATAATAAATAAAGGAATTACGCATATTAAAATTATTTTTAAAGTGTCAAAGGAAGCTTCTTCAAAATTAAAGAAGAAACAGTAACGACTTCTGAGTTCTTTGATTGATGAATTTAGTATTTAACCGGACCAAAACAATGTCTTGTGTGACAATATCACAGAGATTACAAGGTGTTCTCAGTATTCAATAATCTAAATGAATCTTATGGGCATTATCTGATGATAAATCAAATCTCCAACATTAAATATTTACTTACCCCTTACCCTTCTGTTTCTATATCCACCAGCTTGCTCTAGATCCTGAAATCGAAGGTCCATAGCACCTTTCTTTATTCGCTTTCACGTTATCTTATCACGTGACCCCATATTTGCCACTTCGTCAGGATCTTCTTTTTTCTCTCAATGATGTCTCCTCAATCTGGTCAACCAGTTTAAATTCCATCAACGCTATGATATCTTGATGCTTTAACCAATATTGATACAACCCTGACTCTGGACAGCCCAAAACTATTGGAAAATGAGTTCTTCTCAAGTGGACGAGGATGATATAGAGCCAACAATTATCTGTGACAATGACGAACACAAGAAAAAGTGACACGGACTGGAAATATGGGAGGAGAAAATATACACATCTGGAAACAAGAGAGCAAAAATGAGGAAACAGGATGTGACAAAGAAAGAACGGCCAAGCAATCCCCACCAGAGGTCAACATGAAAGTAAGAATCAAAACAAAACAAAAATTCAATTACGGTAAATAGGCACGTTTTCCTCGTGGAGCAAAACTCGCAATTTTTTTTGTGTTTGTAGCATCTGGTAGCACGCCCTTCAAAAGGATTTCGTGCTGATATGCCATTCAAGTCATATTTTATCACATGTTGATGAACTTTTTATACTGAGAGCTACAAGAAACTTCAGCAGCAGAAGCCACCCAAATTTGATACTCAAGACACCCACTCAAATTTAGGTCACATCTCGAACAATAAGTGTCTATCCAGTGAGACATAAGAATTGGGAATGTCCACAGCCACTATTTCCCCCCAAATCATCGAGGAGCCATCTTCCCGGAAAGTGGAAAGAAAGAATCTATGGCTAATATTGTTGCAAATTCAAAGAAATATATCAGGGCAATATTAAGAGATAATTTTCCAGTCCCAGGGAGAGACACAGTGTAAGTATCTGATAAGTCTTCATTATCATGAGTTAATAATTAGTAAATAATACAGTTTTAGCCTTAACTCATGATAAATAGACTTATATTTGTGTTAAAGCATGAAAAGTAGTTTTTAGTTGATTAACGTGAATTTTTGGGTAATTATGTGATTTTATACGATTTTTACAATCTTAGTTTTGAGATAAATGAAGAACAAGAAATAAAAATAAAAATATTGCAAAATGGGGGAATCCGCCGGCCAGCCGGGCCCACAAGCGGGTCGGAAGCGCAGTCAGGGAGTAGCCGCGAGCAGGGGCTCGAGCACCTTGCTTGGATCGATAGGGGGCACGTGTGCGCCACTCCCCTTCCACGTTACCGGTGGTCAGCCGGCTGTGGGGCAAGGAGTGGTCGTACACGCGAGAGGACTTTGCCTAGAAAGCTAACTTTACTCTATATTCGCCCGAATAATCCGCCCACAACCGATGTGGGACTAAATCCACCTTGTAAGGGGCGGGCGACCGCCGCGGGTTCGAATCCTCCCAGAGTCAAAATTCATATATTTTTAACTGATTATCGCGACTTTCTTGCAGATTGCCGGTGAAGGATTAAGCAACCGGAATCGCTGGATCATCGGCGAAAATCTCGTCAACGCGATTCGCGGAGTATTGCTACTAAAATTTCTTAACGATTCGCGATAAAAGGATCGCAATCCATCGAGTAAATCATCTCCGATTGATCGACGAACAAGCCGTCGTCGGGAAGAGGACGATCCGCCGGGAGACCAGTCGCCACCTCCTGAGAGCGTACCAGATGCAATGAAGAGCCTCCTCTTGCTGCGCGGACCTGAGGATGAAGCTCCCTAACACGCGCCTCACCTCCATCCAGCCCCTCTCCGTCGGGTGACAGCCGCCGGAGAGCCGCAAAGTCGCCGTTTTTCCGCTCCGCCGGGTGACAGCCGCCGGAGACGATTCGACGACCCACTTCATTGGTCTCTAGACTTCGCGAGAAGATCTAGAGATTGCCCACGTCGTCTTTGTCCAAGGAGAGCCTTCGAGGCCGTGGACACTGCACGACGACCCTCCCGAACGCTCAGGATTCCGGTGCATCGCCGACGCGTCGCCGTCGCGACGCCGGAACTCTGTTTTCTTGCTTTATCTAGAGATTGCCCACGTCGTCTTTGTCCAAGGAGAGCCTTCGAGGCCGTGGACACTGCACGACGACCCTCCCGAACGCTCAGGATTCCGGTGCATCGCCGACGCGTTGCCGTCGCGACGCCGAAACTCTATTTTCCTGCTTTATCTAGAGATTGCCCAAGTCGTCTTTGTCCAAGGAGAGCCTTCGAGGCCGTGGACACTGCACGACGATCCTCCCGAACGCTCAGGATTCCGGTGCATCGTCGACGCATCGCCGTCGCGACGCCGAAACTCTGTTTTCCTGCTTTCAATTTAATTTACGTTTCATTTAGTGATACTTTGTTGATTTTTATTTACCAAACTATACTTCGTTCAATTACGATTCTTCCGGCTTTTACAGATCTTAATTTGATTAATTGAGTCGTCTGTAATCGCCTACATAAGAATCGCCGGGCAGAACTCTATTTCCGCCTGATTCGCGTTCGCCGGGCGCTGACGTCATCCTGACGTCCGCACCCTTATTTCCTTTTTTTTTCTTTTGTGAATTTTAAATATATTTCCTTTTTATTTCATAGTATAAAATTTGTAAGAAAAACGTACTCATTGAGAAAAATTCTGAATAATTACCAGATATTATATTACATCCCTGTGATCGACCTGGAAAATTACCACTATTTTTGGGATTTGTATTGAATTATAATTGATATATTTATTTTGAAATACTTCTAAATATCCGAAAATTTGTTTTTTTCTAGTTTTATAAATTTTAAATTTGCGTGATTTAATATACAACGACTGAGTCACGTCAGTATCCTACAGGGTGATGCCCATAAAAACTTGCAGTAAAGTCGTTGTCTAGCATTGTTCTGGCGACTGTGGGTAAACATTCAATTAAGAAATGAACTCAAAACAATAAGACGGAATCCAAATCGCCATAAAACCCCGATTGAAATGCCAATAGGAAGATGGTTACAACTAAGGTGAACACTCAAGTGACTGCAAATTGAGTCAGTCTTACTGAGTTGCCTCGATTGACTTGTTTATACAGACAATCCCGACTGTCTTTGCTGCCCTCAGAAGTTTCTATACCCACGTCAAGAGAAACGACAATGTTTGAAAAATCGACGAATAGAACAGAAAAGATAGAGTGATGAGAGAGAGAGAAAGAGAAGGGGAGGCACCTAGACCGGGGGAAGGGGGAGGGGACAGCATCTGCAGGGCGGGGCGAGGGTCGGGCGGGGAGTAGGCGGGAGTCACTACCGTGGACGGCCTGTAGTTCTTCTCCCGCCTCCTCTGCCCTTTCCCGGGCATAACTGCGCTAGGGAGAAGAGGGGTGAGAGTAGCTCGACAAGAACTCGGACTCGCAGGGGCAACAAGGTTGCCATGTCGCGGAAGAGGCTGCCGCGGGGGAAAACAGTCTTCCTGCTGCGAGGCGCAAGGGTATATATATATATATTCTAAAACCGTCAGTCATTATTGCAAATGCTACAATCAGCCCATTAATAGTAAGCCCAAAAGCTCGGCTTAATAATAATTCTCTAAAATTCCTACACCCCCGGCTTGGAACTTGATTAAACAGAAAATATCTTAGAGAAATAGACATCAAAGTTTCCCAAAGAAGTTGGGGAGATGGCTACGTCATACGTAGCCCAGAAGACCAGGATTTCAGCCTAATAGGAGGAACTAGTTGAAGAGGTGGCCAAGTTGCAGTGACAGCTAGAGGAGGCAGTGGTCGGCCTTCAAAGTTGGATCACAAACCTCCAAACACATCAGGAGAAAGTCCCCGCCAGCTCTCACCTGTTGGCAGTCTACACTTGGTGGGGCAAGTCAAGACATGCTGGCAACTGAGGTTTGAGGACTAGTCGAGGCTAGCTTTGACCTGTTGAAATGAGCTAGTCAAGGAGATATAGGATCAGTTTCATCTAGTCAACTCGAGCTAGGCAATGAGAATAGCAATGAGACACCTGAAGCACACTAGATCCATCTGCGAATATATGGAGAAATTTTTGATCTTGCTGCTGAAGCTACTGAGGACGGATGAGGATGACAAACTTTAGTACTTCATTGAGGGGTTGTAGACTTAAGCCTAGAACAAGCTGCATCACCAAGGTGTACAGGATATTCGCACATGGATGGTTGTGACGAATGTGTTAATAGACAATCGGTGCCAATAGTAGGAAGCTAGTGCTAACACTAGCCAAGGGGTTTGAGGTTGTGACAATGGTTGCGATCATGGAGACTCAAACTCACAAGGTGTGGAAAGAGGAGAACAAGCTGGTAGGGACTAGGGAGCCCCAAGCGGAGGTGCACTCCGCCAGCTCGAGGGACCATAGTGGATAGGGTGTCATGTTTGTGGCGGCCCTCAAAAGAGCATCAACTATCCAAATCAAACAAACAACCAAATGACAAGGGCTCGTCTCAATCAAGTGCTGGCACAGGAGCAACATCCGCTGGTGATTGAGGGTTAAAACTGGTCCAAACCAATAACATAGTCAAGGTCACGAACTGAGGCAAAAGGTCATGTTAGGTCCACACACCACGAGGAAACTGAAGTTGGCACGTGGTAAGACACTCTCGACTTCTTGATCTTATAGATGGATGACTTTGACGTCATCTTTGGTGTTGACTTTGAGGTCAAGCCAAGGTCGAGATTTTCCTCTACTACAATAAACTAATTATTTGTGGAGGTGAGCAGTTGTGTAGAGATCAGTGCAAGAGAGAGCAAGCTTTAGGTGGTCTCAACTATGTAAGTCAAGGTAGATTGTCGACAGGATGTGGACACTCTTCTCATGACACTACAGGAAGTGGAATAAGGTGAACACAAGGAGCTTGATATGTCACCTATAGTTACTACATTTACTTAAAGATTTCAAAGACACTATGACTAAAAATTACTTGCCAAACTTTCCCGTAGATGAGAGATCAAGCATTCCATTGAGCACTCATTTTCTGGACTATACAAACATACACATGGTGAGGGCTCGTCTCAACTCAGAGGCTGATCCCTTTTTTGGCTTGGCACGCCAAGTAGAAACCCCAAGTTGGTGCATGTAGTCCTAGAGATGGATGACTTCAATGTCATATTGGGCAGTAACTTTGTGGTCAAGGCAAGGTTGGGATTTTTCTCCACTATATTTGGTTAATTATTTGTGGAAGTGAGTAGACGAACTTCATGTAAGGTTGGCACAACAAAGAGCAGAGCAACAGCTGATCTCAACTATGCAATATGGTGGATTCTTGGTGAGATGTGGACATTTTTCTTGTGATACCCGGGGAAGTAGAGGAAGGTGAATAGAGGAGCTTGGTATGTCACCTATAGGTACTATATTTACTTAAATATTTTAAAGACATTATGCCTAAAAATTTATCTGTCAAGATCCCCCTAAGATGAGAGATTGAGCACTCAATTAAGCTTCCTCCAAAATAATGACCTTCTACTCGAGCCTCATACAAGAGGCCTCTAGTATACTTGGAGGAGTTAAGAAAACAACTAAAGGAATTGTTGCAAGTGGGACACATTCGTTCCTCTCATAGATCATTTGGTGAATTTGTGCTTTTTCAATAAAAAAAAAGAATAAATCTCTAAGTTTGTGTGTGGATTACAAGGCCCCAAATAAAAAACAAATGAAGAATAAACACCCAATGTCTAATATGAAAGATTTGTTTGACCAATTAAGTAAGGTATAGATTTTATCTAAGTTGAACTTGAAGAGAAGATATCACTAAATCCAAACCAAGGAAGAGGACAAGCATAAAACTGTGTATTACACATTATGGGTCTTACAAATTTACTATGATACCTTTTGAACTAAAAAATACTCCAGTCACTTTTTGTATCATGATAAATCATACACTCTTGACTATTTTTTAATAAGATTATGGTGGTATACTTGGATGATATTTGGTGTACAATCATTGTATATAGGAGAATTTGGCACACCTAAGATAGGTGATGGAGACACTGTAGGCAAATTAGTTACAACTCAACCTGAAAAATTGTGATTTCACCTTTTATGAGGCTTCATTCCTTGGCTACATGGTGGGACGTGGGTAGATTTAAATGGATTGAAAAAAAGTGATTATAATCAATTAATGGTTGATGCCTAAGAGAGTATTTGAATTAAGGTCATTTTTTTAAGCTTGCTCACTACTATCAAACATTCATAAAAGGCTTCTCACAATTAGTCGCATCAATGATGGAGCTCTTAGAAAAGGATCAAAGATGGGCATGGACTAAGAAGTACCAACACATGCTTGACAATTTGCAAACGGTCATCATTGATAAACTAATTTTCTATGCTTGATTTTGCCAAAACCTTTGAGGTACACACTAATACTTCAGAAATAGCTATTGGTAGAGTTTCCATGTAGAATGGCCAACCCCTTACTTTTGAAAGAAAAAAATAAAATGATATAGAACAACAATACTCAATCTATGATAAGGAAATGATAGTAGTTGTTCACTACTTATAGGTGTGGTGCCACTATTTATTGGGCAACACTTCTATTGTCTAGACCAACAATGTCACTACAAGCTACTTCAACTCCCTAAAGAAGCTGACCCCCAAGCACATGTTGCAATAAGATTGTTGACAAAATATGAGTTATCACTAAGGTTGCTCAAGTCGGGCTCCACTTTCCTTCAGGATGTGCTAATGTTATTACAAATGTCTTGAGTTGTAGAGAGCTCACCGATGGCATGGTTGTCCTCTCAACAAGTATAGTGATCTTTTTGATATCATATGAGAAGCCTATGGTATAGACTCAATAGTTATGCACCTCATATAATAGACTGAGACAAGAGAAACTTGTTGATTTTAGATGGAATATGATGTCTTCTATTTAGAGGGCCATTGATAAGTCTTCATTATCATAAGTTAATAATTAATTAATAATATAGTTTAAGCTTTAACTCACAATAAATAGATTTTTATTTATGTTAAATTATGAAAAGTACTTTTTAATTAGTTAATATGAATTTTTGGCTAAATATGTAATTTTATATGAATTTATATAATTATATTATTAAAATAAATAAAGATAAGTAAAATAAAATAAAAATATAAAAAAGGATGACCCACCGTGAGTAGAGGGCTCGAGCAATGAACGATTTGTAGGGAACATGTGTGAATCACTCTCCTTCCACATCACTAGTGGTCAATTAAGCATTAGGCAAGGAGTTGTTGTACATAGGCGAAAAAGAGGTTTATTAATCACATAATCTTGTAACTATATATCTATCTCAAAACTTAAAAAATAACTAATGTGGAACTATTATCACATAATCATCAATGAAAATCTTGTCAACATAATTATAGAGAATTATTATTAAAATGAATAAATGATTATATAAAAAGATTATGAATCTATTGAATAAATTATCTCTCATTGATTAATAAATTAATCATCATTGTAAAAAAGACAATCTTTTGGAAGACTAGCCGCCACCTCTTAAGAATATACCAGATGTGATGAAGAGTCTATTCTTGTTGCACATACTTGAAAATAAACTTTCTTAAGATATATCTCACCTCTATTTAATTTATTTTTGTCGAGTGATAGCCACTAGAGATTTGTAAAGTCGTCATTTTTTCACTCTGCTAGATGACAATGGCTAGGGATGATTCGTCAACCCACCTTATTAATTTCTAGACATTGTAAGAAGATCTTGAGATTATTCACGTCGTTCATATTTAAGGAAAGTCTTTAAGGTTGTGGACACACAATAGTCTCTTCTGAACACTCAAAATTCTGATGCACCATCGCCATAATGTTGAAATTCTATTTTACTAATTTTAACTAGTTTAACTTTCATCATCATTTCTTGTATTTCAAAAGGAGATCTAAAGAATTCTTAGGTTGTTCATGTCTAGGGAGAACCTTTAAAGTCATAAATATTATTTGATAATTCTCTCAAACACACAAAATTTCAACAATCACTATTACAAAGCAAGAACCCTATTTTTTCTACTTTTAACTTATGTTTACTTAATTTATTGATATTTTGTGTGATTTTAAGTTTCAAAATTATTTTTTATTAAATTAAATTTTTATTTATTTTTATAGATCTTGATTTGACCAATTAATTCATATGTCATCGCTTTTGTAATAATCACTAGATGAAACTTTATTTTTGCCATATTTGGTTTACTCAAGTCAATGATGTCATCCTAACATCTACACCCTTATTTCCCTTTTAAATATATTTTATCTTTTTTCTTTAGTTTGAAAATCATAACAAATCTTACTCTTTGTAAAAACAATTAAATATTACCCAATACTATATTACATCTTTATGATCAACTTAAAAATTTCCTACGATTTTTTAAAACTTTTTATCAAATTTTAATTAATTTATTTATTTTAAAATATTTCTAAAAATCTAAAAATTAGTATTTTTTTAGTTTTATAAATTTTAAATTTACATAATTTATTATATAATTAAGTTATGTCAACCATCAACCCAAAATGCCACAAAAGAAGCAACTGAGGTAACAATTTCTATATGAGAGCTACAATGCACCATAAGTGAGCCACTAAGGACATTAGTACACCTTGGTCATTCTTGTAGATACTTACATTTGACATAACTTAGAATAGAAGTCAAGACATATGTATGTTCATGTCTTATTTACTAATATAACAAAGTACAATAATGTAATATGGTAGAAAACCAAGAGACTCTCCCCATTCTTGAGGTACCATGAGAGTCATTATTAATAGACTATCATTGGGCTCTCTAGGATTAGCAACCATGATCAACCATTCCACATATCAATGTGATGTACCTTCTAAATACATCACATTCCTCCTAAAGTAGTCTAATTGAAAGCAAAAGTGGTAAGCTTATTTTTAATACATGTCATCATATTTTGAGATATATTAGAGGTCAATGATGTGACTTAGTCGTTGTATAGTAAATCAAGTAAATTTGAAACTTTATAAAACTAAAAAATATGAATTTTTAGATATTTAGAAGTATTTTTTAAAAATATATATCAATTATAATTCAATAAAATTTCTTAAAAATAGTGATAATTTTCTAGGTCAATCATAG